CCCACATCACCACGATCCGAACACTTCACCGGATCATTCAATCGGTAGGAGCGACGGGCGGTGTGTACAAAGGGCAGGGACGTAGTCAACGCGAGCTGATGACTCACGCTTACTAGGAATTCCTCGTTGAAGACCAACAATTGCAATGATCTATCCCCATCACGATGAAATTTCAAAGATTACCCGAACCTATCGGCCAAGGCTATACGCTCATTGAATACTTCAGTGTAGCGCGCGTGTGGCCTAGAACATCTAAGGGCATCACAGACCTGTTATTGCCTCAAACTTCCGCGGCCTAAGAGGCCGTAGTCCCTCTAAGAAGCTGGCCACGAAGGGATACCTTCGCATAGCTAGTTAGCAGGCTGAGGTCTCGTTCATTAACGGAATTAACCAGACAAATCGCTCCACCAACTAAGAACGGCCATGCACCACCACCAACAAGTCTTGCACGGAGGCGACCGGCATGAACAGTGTCCGGTTGTCTTCTCCGTTCATTTTCGCGGCGCTCCTGATGGTGTAACTCCCGATTGATTGCAGATTCTTCATCTCCTTGGTGCGACGAGCTTCTCCGTTGGTGGAATCGCTGATTTCCGTCATCTCCCAAGGTCAACGCAAGCTAGGGTTGGAGTTTCACTGTTCATCTTCTACGCTGTTTCTTCGATGAATTCCAGGTAAGTGTGGCTTGTCTCTCTTATCCTTTGCCATGGGGAAGAAGAAGACGACGAAGACCCCTGCGCATTCTCCTCCTCCAACTACGAGGAAGAAGAAGAAGAGCACCAAACTTGTTGTAGATGATGAATTGGATTGTGTGAACACTGTGGATGCTGGGGTTTAATCATCTGATGAGGAAAAGGGTGAACCTTCGATTCACTCCTCTTTTGATACCTCAATTGATGAAGAGGAAGTTGCTAGGACTCTCCAAATCTCGGTGGAACAGAACCTCGAAGCCATCCTAACTGATGATGCTGATAATACTATGGCAAATGAACCTTTAAACAAGGAGACACCTCCTGATAATGCTGCTGATAAACCTCTGGAACAACCTACCAACAATGAGGAGAAAGAGAAGGAAAAAGACCCTCCTGATGTTGGCAAGAGTGGAGACAAGCTGAATGAAGATAAGGTGGATAAGCCTGCTGATGCAAAGAAATCTTTTGCTTCCTTTTTCAAGAAAAATAGGGCTGAAGATAAAGGAATGAAGCTTCACAAGGTTGTTGCTCCTAAATGCTTCATACCTGAAGAAGACATGCTGACTGTGGAAGAAATTTGGGGACCCTGTCTGGTGGGTTGCTTCACTGGTAGATTCCCTGGGCTGGTAGCTATCCAAAAACTGGTTGATAGTTGGGGAGTCAAGTGCAAGTTCCTACCTCATCACCAAGGATGGGTTGTCTTTAAATTCCATACCAATGAGGATAGGGATTCTGCTCTCTTACTTGCCAAGAAGGAACTCAATAATAAGAAATTGCTCATTAACATCCCTCCTGATGACTTTATGTGGGATGTTAAGTCCTTCTCAACCATGCCTATCTGGGTTAAGCTGTGGAATGTTCCCATGAGGTTCTGGTCCTCAAATGCTCTATCTCACATAGGGTCTCAACTGGAAACTCCCATGTACACTGATGGCCTCACTCACACAGTGGCTTCCAAGTTGAGTGCTGAAGATCAGGAAGAGAAAGATGAACTTAAATATCAGAAGCCCAATTACTGCAGAATGTTGATAAACATGGACCTATCCCTTACACCTCCTACTTCTGTTGAGGTGGATTTTGTTGGGGGTAGCTATGTTCAAAAGGTTGAGTATGAGGACATGCCTCAATACTGCTATCACTGTAAGTGTTTTGGCCATGACCCCTTTAACTGCTCAGTTCTTCATGAGATCAACAAGAGAAAATTCAATGAAGAACGAAAAGCAAGAGAGAGGGCTAGGGTTGAAACCCTCAAAACCATAATGCTTACAGAAGCACAAAAACAACCACAGAAGGGAAAGGAAAATGGGAAAGATGATGTGAACAACACTGCTGAAAACAAAGGAAAAGAAAAGGATAACTCAGGAGGTGTGGCCCAAAACCCAAATGATCCTGGCCCATCCTTCACTGCCCACATTGAGGATGATGGCTTCACACAAGTAGGAGGGGGCAAGGGCAAACTTACAACACACCCTATCAGGGATGGAAAGCAGAGAACTGGATACAACAAAGGGGGAGGTCAGACTGGAGGATATAGAGGTGGGGCAAACAGAGGAAGGGGAAGGGGCTATGGCCCTTACCGTTGATGAAGGTACTTTGTTGGAATATTAGAGGCCTTGGCAAGGCCTCTAAGCAAAATTTTTTGTGTAAATACCTTTTTGAACTTGGTGTCAACTTATTCTGTGCTTTAGAAACAAAAATGAATACTGCCAAACTTAACCTTTTTGCTAAAAATAAACTCCCATCATGGAGCTTTTCACATAATTTTGACCTTATTGATGATGGGAGAATGGCAGTTTTTTGGAATCCTTCTTTTGTTGAGTGCACTATTATTCATGTCACTGACCAACTTATGCATTGTAAGATCAAGTGCCTCATTTCTCAAAGGAGTTTTTTTGTTTCTTTTGTTTATGCCCTCTACTGTGTTACTGCCAGAAGGGGGTTGTGGGATTTTTTGACTAACATTGCAGGTGATCTCAGTGGCCCTTGGGCTGTCATGGGGTATTTCAATGCAGTTATCAGCTCCACTGAAAGAGTGAACTGCCAAACCCAAAGTGCCTACTACATGATAGATCTTAGACAGTTCAGAATCAACAATGCCCTTAATGATGCTAACTCATCAGGGCTGGAATTTACTTGGAACAAAGGTGAAAAATGGGCCAAACTTGACAGAGTGCTGATCAATGATGAATGGGAGAATATGCAATGGGATTGCTAGGCTGAATTTAGAGACATGGAGGCAATCTCTGACCACTGCCCAGTGTTGCTGAAGCTTATGAATATCCAGAACCAGAGCACCAGGCCTTTTAAATTTTACAACATGTGGCTCAAGCATGATAATTTTGATATGGTGGTCAGGGAGAATTGGAATCAATGGGTCAATGGAACAAGGCAGTACAGATTATGTGTCAAACTCAAAAAACTGAAACAACCTTTGAGGCTTCTGAATAAACAACACTTTGGCCATATCTCTCAGAGAGCTGAATCTGCCAGAAAGAAGTACAGCCATCTCATGCAGGAGCTGATCCTGGAACCTGACAACCCTTCCCTTCTGTCCAAAAGTGTTGAACTCAGAAACAAAGCAAGTTTCTTCATGGATGCTGAAAGATCTTTCTTCCAACAGAAGACTAAGTGTGAACTGCTCTTTGAGGGGGACAAATGCACCAAATTTTTCCATGCCCTGATGAGGAAAAAGAAACATAGCAGTGCCATCCCCTTCATTGTTACAAATGATCAGAGACTCACCACCAGTTTGGAGGAGGTTGAAAAGGAATTTATTGAGTACTTTACCAATCTCTTTGGAACCACTGTTCCCATTGAACCTGTTGATTGGAATGTTTTTGAAGAGGGCCCTCTCATCCCCAACCATGCAGCTAACAACCTCATCAGAAAGGTGACTATTGAAGAGGTTAGGGATGCACTTTTTTCTATTGGGAATAACAAATCCCCTGGCCCTGATGGTTACACCTCTGCCTTCTTCAAGGAAAAGTGGGATATTGTTGGAAATAATCTGTATGAAGCAGTGTCTGAATTCTTTATTAGTGGGAGAATTCTCAAGCAACTCAACCATGCCATTGTGGCCTTGATCCCTAAAGTTAAAGTGAACCCTACTGTTAGGGATTTTAGACCCATAGCATGCTCCAATGTAATCTATAAAGTCATCACTAAGATTTTGTCCAACAGAATGAGTCACATACTTCCTGAAATCATTGATCAAGCACAGTCTGCTTTTGTGGGTGGGAGGAGTCTGGTGGACAACATACTGCTGGCCCAACACTTAGTTAGAGGGTATGCCAGGAAAAGAAGTCCTCCTTGTTGCATGCTTAAAGTGGATATAACTAAGGCATATGACACTATTTCTTGGGAGTTTTTGAAGAATGCTATGACTGGCCTTGGATTCCCTACTAAGTTCACTGCTTGGGTAATGGAATGTGTATCCTCTGCATCCTTTTCCTTATCTTTGAATGGTGGAATTCATGGCTTCATCAAATGCAAAAGAGGAATCAGACAAGGAGACCCCATGGCACCTACCTTGTTCTTATTCTGCATGGAATACCTCTCTAGACTTCTGAAGAGAATGACCAGAGAGAGGAGATTTAACTTCCACTCTAAATGCTCCTCTCTTAAGATAACACACATTGCCTTTGCTGATGACATCATGATGTTCTCTAGAGGGGACAAAGAATCTGTCCAGGTCCTTGCTGATGCCTTGAAGCACTTTTCCTTTGTCTCAGGCCTCCATGTCAATGCACAAAAATCAAACATTTATCTGGCAGGGCAAATCAAGGGGAATAAGCAGCATATCCTCAACTTGGTGAATTTCCCTGAAGGACTTTTACCAGTTAAATACCTGGGACTGCCACTCACTTCACAAAGGGCATCAGAGAGGGATTTTGCACCATTGATTGAAACAGTTGATGATAATATAAGAAGATGGAACACTAAGACTTTAACCATTACTGGTAGAGCTGAACTTAATAGGAGTGTTATCCAAGGGATAGAAGGTTTTTGGCTTCAAGCCTTCCCCATCCATAAATCTGTTCTGAACAGGATAACCTCCATCTGCAGAACCTTCCTTTGGGAAAACAAATTCTACAAAGTGGCTTGGGATGATATTTGCAAACCAAAGGAGGAAGGGGGACTTGGGCTTAGAAACTCTGAAGTTTGGAATCAAGCACTCATGGCTAAAAACCTGTGGAACATTGCATCAAGAAAAGAAACCCTTTGGGTTCAGTGGGTTCACAGTGTTTACCTTCAGGACAGAGATATTTGGACCTGGATCCCTAAACATGGGGATTCACACTTCTTCAAAAAGCTTGCAGAAGTGAGAAACAATCTAACCCAGAAGCTTGATACTGGTCAGAACCAAGAACTGGATTGGGATGACCTCCTTGTTGATGGAAAATTCTGCACTGCAAAGGTGTATGATTTGCTGAGAGTCCATTTGTCTCCTAAACCATGCATGAAAATGATTTGGCAAAGCTACATTCCACCCAGATTCTCCTTTACAACCTGGCTTGCCATTAGAAGGAGGTTATCAACCAAGGTGAATCTGGGATTTATCCCCATGGAGAATAGGAATTGTAGCCTCTGTGGACAGGAGCTTGAGACCACTGATCACCTTTTCTTTGCTTGCACTGCATCCCAACAGATCTGGAAGGGTGTGAAAGACTGGCTCAAAATTCCTTATGCACTCTCAACTATTGAAAGAGTCATAAAATGGCTCCTTGGAAGACACAGAGTGCATGGGAACCTGAGAAACATCTGGAGACTAGCAGTAATGAGCACCATACATCATATTTGGAAGTTGGGGTGTTTACACCCATTTCCTTCTTTCTATCCCTCTCCCCCCCTTTTTGCTGTTCACCCTTCTCTTCTCTGCCTCCTCCTTCTCTCTTGGTCATAACCTAGTTGTTCACACTCCAGTCACTCTTCAGATGGAGTATGAGCAGACTTGGTTATGACCTGGGTTCCTCTTGGGTGGGTGGACCCTTTGGGTGGTGGAAACAGGTCATTCTTTGGATACCCCTTCTGGATATTTAAAGAATAACTTGGGTCCCAGGTTGGGGTGTTTCACACATCCATTTCTTTCTTCCCCCCCCCCCTCCCTTCTTCTTTCTTCTTCTCTTCCCTTCACCACTTCTCTCTGCTTCCCTCTCTCATCTCTTTTCCTCTGTGTTCTGGAGTCAAACCATGCTACACATTGCCTTTCTTCCTTTGAAAGAATGTGCTAATTGGTTTGCCTCCCTTGTCCTTTGACTTTGGTGGAACATTGTTTGATTACATTGCCTTTGATGCTGGACTCTCTGAAGATGACCTAATTCTGATGACCTTGGCCACTCAAACCTAGCCATGGCACTGCCTCTCCTTATTTGCATAAGGGAGTTTCTAATTTGCTGCCACATGGTCTGGTGGGATGAGGATTTGCTGGAATTAGGGCCATTGTTCTGTGATGATCCTGCCTCTGTTTTTAGTGGGTGAACTGGAACACTATTAACAGTTGGTGACTCAATGGACCTGATGGGCCAATATCCAACGGGCGGCCCAAATGAACCATTTACACAATTTCGGGTCAAGCACTGGGAAAATACCCAGGCCTGGGCCGGCCCATGGGGGCCGGGCCCGGTCAACTTTAGACCAAGAGTAGCTGGCAGAGTCAATCCGGAGAAGAAGGCGGAGCAGATCGGCGGTTACGAGGCTGGAGAAAAGGGATCACGCCATTAGCGGGATAGACTCGATCAATTATGCATTACCTTAATTGTTTAGAGCTCATGTTTAAATAGAGGAGACCCGAAAGGGGAGAAATCAAGCTAATAATACACACCCAATTCTCGAATTCTCACTCTTAATCTTGTTTCTATGATCCGCCTTTTGAATCGGATCATTTGGTGGATTATTGTCCATCAAATTGGTGCTTTCATTGAGAGTTCGAGAATCATACTCAGAGGAAATCCTCCACAAAGACGATGGTGCAAACACGCAGTAACGCCAATGTAGGTACCGGAGTTCCCCAACAGGGGGAGAACATCGCCACTGGAGGCCGGCACCCCCCCATCACTGCGGGGGAGGCTGAGGCCCTCATCCGGAGGGTTGGGATCACAGCCGAGCAATTCAAGGAGGTCCTAGCTGCACTCACACCCAATCGCGAGATTGTGGTAGAAGATGTAGCTGGGGGACCCACAGGCGGGAAGGCCGGACCTGCGGGCTCCCAAGGGAAAAAGAAGAAAGTGAGGCGGTCCCAGAAGAAGAAGGCGACCAAGCCTAATGGGAAGGCTGTGATGGCAGATGCGCTTTCCAGACTGGACGAAGAGGACGAGTCGTCCTCCTTCGAGCGGATGTCTGCTTTTGACCATTTGGGAGATCCCAAATCAAAGAAACCTTGGACCTCTGCGTTCGAGCGGTTGCAAGACACTCGGTCGGCCCAGAAGGGAGACTTGAGGGACACGCTCAAAGAGAAAAGAGGGGAATCCACAGCGACCTCCAAGATCGGTTCTGAGGAGCGACGGACGATGGTCGAGGACAAGGGCGCAGCCGAACTGTGGAGAATGTACGAAGAACTGGAGAAGCGGCTGGACGCCCGGAACCCCTACCGCCAGGCGGTCTTCAGTGAGGTAACGCCCTTCTCCAGGAGGATAATGTCTTGACCTCTCCCGGATAATTTCAAGACTCCCCAAATCAAGGCGTACAATGGGACGACTGATCCCCAGGACCACCTCGCTCGCTTCGGGGAAAACGTGGTCATGTATGCGTACCCAGAAGAAATCAAGTGTCGGTGTTTCCTGGCGACACTGGAAGGACAGGCTTGTGAGTGGTTCCACAACTTACCCAAGGGGTCGATAGATAAGTGGAGCGACCTGGCCCACAAGTTCTTGGAGCACTTCGCATCCAGTCGGAGGCAAAAGCTCCCCTTCTCGCATTTGCTCAATGTGAAGATTCGGAAGGGAGAACAGCTCCGGGATTTCATTAACAGGTGGGAGAAGGAGGCTAGGGATGTCCAAGGGGCGGACGACCAAGCCTTGATCGCCATGCTCCAAGCTGCACTCCCCCAAGGGGATGTGCGCAAGGAGCTGCGACGGAATCCTCTCTCGACTTATCAGGAGATGTTGGCCAGGGCGAAGTACCTGGCGTTGGAAGAAGAAGATGATGAGCTACCAGTCCGGAAGGAGAAGAAAAGCGGGCCACTGGTGGCATAAGGAAAAAAGAGAAAGGATTACGGTAAGGGGCCAAACCCCACCGGGTATCATGCGAACAGGCATCCTGTTCATGCGGTGCAGTCGTTGCCTGCCCCTCCTCACAGTCGGGAAAGCTATGGTGTGCAAGATGCACCCAAATACTGCGAGTACCACCGTAACAGCACCCACAACACGTCGGAGTGCGTTACGCTTAAGAAGGAAATGGATCAGTTGATCGCCAAGGGGCCACCTCCTCGGTCGGAGCGACCGTCCTCAAGTAACCGGACCTGGAGGAGACCGCCAGCCCCCACGGCAGCGATCACAGCAGGAGAGGGGCAGGAGGATGGACGACGACATCTAGGAAGAGATTTTGATGATCTAGATGAGGAGGAAAGGCAAGGTCGCCGTCACCTAGGGTGTCGGTTCATCATGGGAGGAAACACTGGAGGAGATTCGGTATCCTCCCGGAAGAAGTGGAAGAATATGGTGTACCTGGCCGAGGTACAAAGGCCGCCGCTGCCTAAGCGGAAGAAAAAGGAACCTCTGATCTTTACAGACGAGGATTATCCCACAGTCCCCAGCCCTCACAGGGACGCTCTGGTGATAAAAGTAGAGATCAATAATGTGGTTGTTCACCGATCTTTGGTCGATACGGGCAGCTCGGTCAATGTTATGTACAGCAACACTTTTAAGGAGTTGGGGTTGTCTCGAAACGACCTGAAACCAATCCACACGCCACTGTCAGGGTTCACAGGGGATACTATCGAAGCTGAAGGAACTATCACGGTGAAGGCCGGGGTAGGAGATGGCACCCACCGACTCTGGGTCGACATGGAATTTATGGTAGTGCAGCTCGACTATGCACACCATCTGATTCTGGGGCGACCAGGGTTGGAGGACCTGGAGTGCGTAATCTCCCCCGTCCACTTATGCCTAAAGTTCAATACTCCTACAGGGGTGGGGGTAGCAAAGGGAAACCAGAGCCTGTCACGGTCGTGCTACGTTAGGGCGACCAAAAACCAAGCCCGAGTCGACGAGAATGTGAGCACGATCTATGCGGCAATCCAGAGGGAGGAGGGGCGACCTCGAGCTAAGCCGGTGGAAGAAGTAGAAGAAGTTTCGTTGGACCCGGTCAAGCCAGAACGGAAGGTGAAGGTAGGTAAAACTTTACCGCTTAAATTGAAGGAGCAGTTATTGGAAGTCCTCCAAGCATTCAAGGTGTTATTCGCATGGGGTCCAGAGGACATGCCAGGGGTCGACCCAAAAATTATCTGCCATAGATTGGCGGTGGATCCGACCCACAAACCGGTCAAGCAGAAGAAACGGTTCCTCTCCTCAGAACGAAGAGAGTTTGTCACCCAGCAGGTGACAACCCTACAATCCATTGGGCACATTCGGGAAGTCCGCTACCCGGAATGGTTGGCAAATGTAGTCCTCGCACCCAAAGGGAATACCTGGCGGATGTGCGTCGATTACACTGATCTGAATAAAGCCTGCCCGATGGATCCTTTCCCTCTCCCCAACATTGATCAGTTGGTTGATGAGACGGCAGGGTGTGAGCTGATGAGTTTTATGGACGCATTCAGTGGGTACCATCAGATCAAGATGGTCGTGGCGGATGAAGAGAAGACCGCTTTCATCACCCCCAACGGGGTATACTGTTACAAGGTGATGCCCTTTGGTTTGAAGAATGCTGGAGCGACTTATGCACGGATGGTGAACAAGTTGTTCGCGCCAGTACTAGGGGGGTGCATGGAAGCGTATGTGGACGACATGATCGTCAAGTCCAAACGGACGGAGTCTCATACTGGCGACTTGGAGAGAGTATTCAAGATCATGAAGAAATTCCAACTTTGCCTTAACCCCAAGAAGTGTACATTTGGGGTTCAGGGGGGCAAGTTCCTAGGACATATGGTCAGCCGGAGAGGGATCGAGCCCAATCCGGAGAAGGTAAAGGCGATTTTGGAGATGGAGCCTCCGCGAAATGTGAAGGAAGTCCAACAGCTCACCGGCAGGATTGCTGCTCTCAGTCGCTTCTTGTCAAAGATAGCTGATCGGGCGGCTCCGTTCTTTCAGACCATTAAGAAGAATAGAGGATTCGTTTGGACCGAGGAATGCCAACAGTCTTTTGAAGGGTTAAAAGCATATCTCCTCTCCCCACTGGTGCTTTCAAAGCCAGAGCCCGGAGAGACCCTATTCCTGTATTTAGGAATCTCTCCTCGAGCTGTGAGCTCGGTACTTGTGAGGGTGGAGGAGGGCACACAGCGACCTGTGTACTACGTGGCCCGGGTGCTGCAAGGAGCAGAATTGAGATATACAAACATGGAAAAAACAATCTTCGCAGTGGTGTGTACGATGAAAAAGCTCACCCCGTATTTTCAAGCCCATCCGGTCCATGTGTTATCACAAATTCCCATCGGAACACTTCTTCGAAGCCCAAATGCCCCGTCGCGGGTAAGCAAGTGGGGGGTGTTCCTGGGGTCCTTTCAGATAGAATTTAAGCCACGACCGGCGATAAAGGGGCAGGCGTTAGCAGATTTCGTGGTAGAATGCACGGCGAGAGAGATAGAGCCTATTGGAGAAGACCCCGAAGGGAATTGGTGGACCGTGTAAACCGATGGATCGTCTGCGATTGATGCTTCGGGGGGAGGTGTCGTGGCGATATCACCGGAAGGGTTCAAGGCATACTACTCCGTGAGATTCCGGTTTAAAGTCTCGAACAATGAGGCTGAATATGAGGCACTGCTTTGCGGCTTGAGGTTGGCAGCTTCAATAAAAGCTGAGCGGATCCAAGTCCGGTGCGATTCCAAGCTAGTACTAGGCCATGTCACTGGAGAGTTTGAGGCCAAGGATGAACGGATGAAGAAGTATAGAGACACTGCCCTGGAGTTGCTTAAAGCATTTGGGGCGTACCAGATAGAACAGGTCCCTCGAGAAGAGAACGCTGAGGCAGATATCTTGTCAAAACTTGGCCCGGATTCCCCAGATCATATTAAGGCAATGACCCAGGAAGAAGAGTTGCTCGAGCCAAGCATCAGCCCCGGACAAGTGCTAATCATCACACTCAGAGAAGAACCGGATTGGATTGATGAGATTACCATGTACATCCTCGAAGGGTCGCTACCTACCGACCCAATCGCAGCAAAGGTGGTAAAGCGACGTGCACCCAGCTACACACTGGAGTGCGGTCGGCTGTACAAGCGGTCGTACAATGGTACATTGCTAAGGTGCTTAAGAGCGGGCGAGGCACAGAAGTTAATGGAGGAAATCCATGAAGGAATATGCTCGGCAGATCAGGGAGCCTTCACGATGTCCAGGAAAGTGACTCTACAAGGATACTTTTGGCCAACAATTATCAGAGATTGCGCAGAGTATGTGCGCAAATGCAAGGTTTGCCAGGAGTTCCAAAGGGTGCCGGGGCGACTGGCGACGAATTATACCCCGATCAGTACGGCGATTCCCTTTGCCCGGTGGGGCATTGATCTGGTTGGCATTTTGCCTCGAGGGACAGGGAACAACACATACCTGGTGGTCGCGATTGATTACTTTACCAAGTGGGTCGAGGCCGCTCCCGTGCCGACCATCACTGCAGAACAAATGACGAAGTTCGTTTCTAAGCAAATCTGGTGCCGATTTGGGGTTCCCCAGCAGATCATCACCGACAATGGAACCCAATTCGAGGCCAGAGGGTTCAATGAGTTTCTACAGAGCTGGGGCATAAAACACAGCTATGCAGCGGTCGGGTACCCCCAAACCAATGGGCAGGTTGAGAACACCAATCGCACCATCATGGACGGCCTCAAGAAGAAGATAATGTAATGCAAAAGTGCCTGGGTGGAGGAATTGCCCTACATCTTGTGGACCTACAGAACTACCCCAAGGAAGGCCACAGGTGAAACTCCTTTCTCGCTCACATATGGATTTGAAGAAAGGGCTCCAGCGGAGACCTCGTTGCTGAGTTATAGAGTGGAGACGTTTGACGCTCAAGAAAATGAAGAGAACTTGAGGGCAGAGCTGCACCTCATTGATGAGCGAAGGGAAAGGGCTTACATGCGGGCAGAAAACTACCGCCGGCAGGTCCAGTCATATCACGACCAGCGGGTGCGACCAAGGCAGTTCAAGATGGGCGACTGGGTCCTTCGGAAAAGGGAAGTCAGCCGACCAACCGATGGAGGGAAGTTTGCTAAAAGCTTCGAAGGGCCATATATCATAAAGGAGGTGTTGGCTGATGGGACGTTTAGGTTGCAGACTCCAGCCGGTGGCGACGTTCCGCGAGCATGGAATGCCGCCAATCTCATTAAATTTTATCAATAGATTGTATTCCAGCCATGTTCTTCTCTTGAAGTTTAATAAAACCAGCATCTTGGCACATCTTGCCTCCAATTCTCGAAAAAAAAAGGAGCGACCACAAGAGATCGCTAAGCTTAAACTCGCTAAAGCCTAAACTCGCTAAGCCTAAACAGTATGGTGATTCGTGCTAAGGTACCCAATAGTGGGTGAAGCGTCGAACCCTGACAAGCGACCAAGGTTGAGGGCTGTCAGGCGACGCGACTAATCAGGGGACGACGCCGTGGCAAGAAAGCCCGAGAAAACGGCTAAGTCTGGAACATAAGATATGCTGATCGCATGAGCGACCAGGGGTCAATGGCGACGCCATGAGGGTTAAGGTAACCCGGAAATGGCTAAGTCAAAAGAGGCGAGGTATTCTCTGATCAAGGTCTGAGGAAACCTGAACGCTTAAAATGAGATGCGGAAGAGAAGAAGATGAAACTTGTAAGTAAACAGGTGACATCAAAATACATTCATGAAAATGTTCATTACATTTCAAGGATAACCTCTTGCATCCGTTACAATACAGTTGAAAACAGTCTTTACATATCTTCAAAAGAAGGGATACTTTTCCATACTTTTCTTACAATGGAAAAGAACAATCTAAAACTTTGTAAGCAGCTAGGGGGGACAGGCAGGTTTGAAGGGTAGTTCTGCAGCTGTATAGGCCGGCAGAACTCCGATCACCGGCCGTCCAAGACGACCACCTCTCTTCCCCATCATGGAACGGGATCGGTCGCCCCCTGCCTTGGCAAAAACCCACCGCCCTTCAAATACCAAGGAAGGACGAAGGACGGCTCACTTCTCCGTGAACCCCAACCAACATCACCTAGATGAGGATGGAGATCCTGAAGCCGCATCACCTAGATGAGGATGGAGATCCTGAAGCCGCTCGAGCTACTCCAGGTCGCCTAAGGGTCTTCCGGGGAGTTGAGTGGCCGGTGGGGCGAGGTAGGCTGGAACCCAGTTCTTCCCCCAACACAACCTCCTCCTTAGGTCTCACCGGCGAATTGGTGCGACTTTCGCTAGTCCATCGTTCAAGACTTGCGTAATATGCGCACTCATGCTCCAGGAGGGGTAAGTGCTCATCGTGGAAGCTCTCCCAGGCCATGCATTGCAGGGAATGAAGGGGGCATGGAGCATCCCAATCAATCCGCCCGTTAGGCAGGCGGTTGGCGGAGAGGGCCTTGTACGCCTCACTGAAGTCTTCATAAGGGTTTGGTGGTAGTGGCGGCGGTTTTACCGACGACCACTGCCGGCGAGGCAACCGGCGGCAGAATTCGTAAGGGTCTAGCCCCCCCCCCAGTCATTGGAATTAACTGACTGTGGGGAGGAGGCAGGCTCCGGCGAAGAAGGAGCCGGCCCGTCGGAAAGATTCAGAGAAATAGGGAGTCCTTCAGACATGACGATGATGGAGAAAGGGAAAATATTTGGTGATAGAGCAAAGTGAAGGCTAAGGGGGGCTTATAAATAGGCCCAGGCGAAGGAACCGAAGAGACGGTCAAGTCTCAAGGCAGCTGAACCGATAAAGCAGCTTTGAGCCGCGCGAAGGTCCAATCAGAGATTGTGAAAGGCATTGGGTCAGTTGGGCGGCACGTTGGCCAATCCTGAGATTGGGCCTGGACAGATAAACGGGCCGGAATTAGGAGTTGGGCCCAAACTAAAACATACATGCGAATCAGCTAAACTAGAGAAGAGAGTAAAACGCTGAAAAAGGGAGGCACATAGTGGATCCAACGAGTCAAGTAACATGTGAACATTGTATCAAAACGATAAGTCATTCCAAAGGAACAAACAACAAGTGTTTACAAAACTCTGGGGGAACAACAGGGGAGGTTAGGCGCTCGAGCTAGGATTTCGACCTGCCTTGGACGTGGCTAAGCTGGTCCCCGGATCCTGGTCGCCCTGACTGCCTTCCACTTCTTCTTCTTCCTCTTCTTCCGACGCACTCGAGCTCCCCCCGTCCAGATAAGGACTGGGGTCGAACTCGGCCAAGGAACGGCAGGGAGGAGGGAAGCCAAGGTCGGGAAGAGAGAATCCTTTGGGGAGCTGAGCCAGTCTGTCGCGGAAGACCTGTTGGGCGCGGAAGAGTCCACAATTGAAGGACTTGGTCCCCTCCTTGACCATCCATTGAGCCCCAGGTTCGGTTTTGAGCCAAGCGGCCTTTAGCTCTTCCATCCGCTCCATCGCGACCATCGTGAAGTCAGGAGAAGACTTGAAGGATTCTACCGCTTCCTCTGCATGGCGGACCCGGTCGCTCCTCTCCACTTCCAACTGCTGGATCAGGTCAGACTTTTCCCCCTCCAGCTCGACCACGCGAGCAGAAACAGATTCTACCTCCAAGGACAAGGAGGCCTAGTGTGCCTCAAGGGCGACGCAGCGGTTCTCCTTGGAAGTTTTCTCTGCAGCAAGCGCCGCGCAACGATCTTCCTTCTCCCCCAGCTCTCTTGTGAGTCGGGCGACCTCCTCCTGCAATTCCTTCTTCTTGGCCTCCGATGTCTTCAACGCCTCGCCCAAGGCAGCCTGGTGACCCCGTCTCCTACCAACCACCTCGATCATCCCCAGCGTGGCCTGCACCAAGGCATGGGGGTTAAGAACGTAAAAAAAGAAAAGGAGTACAGATAGAATCAGCGCAAGTACCTGGCTTAGCCTCAAGAGGACCATGTTATCAAGGTCGTCCTCAGAACCGGCCGAGATGCGAGCTTGGTCCTCCGCGGGCAGGGTGATCAGGGTCTCTAGTTGCACGTCCCCTAAGCTTAGGGGCAGAGGAGGAATGCAAAGCCTCGTCGAGCGACCCCCGGTCGCCACCTCGTAGGTCACCGCGGGAGGCGAAGGAGGTCGCTCCGAGGCAACACCTTGTGACGACCCAGCGAGGTCGCCACCCGGCCTCACAGAGTGGGGAGGGGAATGGCCAGTCACTGTACCCGTTTCCAGGGTAGCATCATCCTGGTCCTCCACTACAATTACAGCCGGCTTTCGGGAGGGACTCTCCCTGTGGTGGGACGAAGAGCGTTTGCCCTAGCCCTTCGCCTCTCTCTTCCTCTTCCTCCCTGCAGTGAAGCGACTGAGTAGGAGATCGACGTCCATCTCTTCTCCTGAATCTTTTAATTCCACTGGAAACAGAGGAAATGGTCAGCCTCGGAAAAAGATAAACTAAACATCTGGGCAAAAGGAAAGGTCAATTACCAAAAGGACCACAGTCAAGACCTTCCTCAGAAATGTCCTTCAGCTGGTCAGGATGATGCCCCCCGGGAATGTCCCTCAGCAGGTCGGGTTGGTGGCGAAGCTCATCCTGAACAAACTCAAACCCCAACCCGGCAAGGGTTTCCTCTGTCACCACCTCTTTGATGTTCATAACTCCCTTATTGCAGAGTTGGCGAGTGATGGACAAAAGGGTGGCATCAGGTGGGGGGCATGGGATGCAGCGGAAGGAGGGGCGCCCTGAACCCGTGAAAGGAGATTCGGGCCCCGTCGAGACGAAGACGAAGAAGGGTTTCCAGTCTTTGGTTGACCCCTTCTTGTCACTAGCAAAGAGCTTACTGGACCTCTGGGAAAGGCTGGCATAAGACGCCCAATCCTTATGGCCCTTGGTCAGCTTGAAAGTGAATAGGAAATGGTCCAAAGTTGGTTTCACCCCTACAACCTTGCACCGGACCAAATAACCGGCGATGTACCAGTGAGAGTTGGGGACCAACTGACACGGAAGAAGGTCCACCACGTTGAGGAATTCGATCAAAAGCGGGTGGAGTGGGAAGCGCAGCCCCTTCTTCAAAGACGCCAGATGGACCGTGAAGAACCCTGAAGGGGCGTCCAGGGCGGTTTGGGTGCTGGTAGGTCTCATGACTTCAATGGAAGGTCTGACCATGTCAGTAGCATCGGCGAACCCCCGGTCAGTAATCTGGCAATGGCACTGCGCCATGATGTTTTCGTCCAATCCAACCCTCGAGCCCTCATCTACCGGGGTTGAGGAAGGGAATTGCTTCCTCAATCGACGCCGTTTATGGCCAGACACGGCCGACGGTGACGGCTGGGGTGATTGAGTGTGGCCGGGGTTGCGGCCAGAGGCCGATTGATCGGCTTGGCGAGAATTGGACGATGGGGTAGCCGAATCGGAATCTGAAACAATCATGGCGGCGAGAAAAGGAACTGACCTGGAAAGGAAGAAGAACGGGTCGGGTAGCAGCGGAATTGCAGAAGAATGATGGTGAAGAAAGCGAAAGAAAGAGATGGCGTCCAGCGGCGGTTTTCAACTGACACTGGGGAGGCGAAACGGCAGGTCATGATTACCTATTCGTGGAGATCGTGTCTAAGTGTCACGCGGAGCCCAAGAAACGGCCCGGATCCGCGCTGGAGCGCCCACGTGGACTTTGTAAACTCCCATTCCTCAACTGGGCCCAGTCGAGGATTGAGGAGTTGGGGGGCTTATGATGGGCCAATATCCAACGGGCGGCCCAAATGAACCATTTACACAACTTCGGGTCAAGCACTGGGAAAATACCCAGGCCTGGGCCGGCCCATGGGGGCCGGGCCCGGTCAACTTTAGACCAAGAGTAGCTGGCAAAGTCAATCCGGAGAAGAAGGCGGAGCAGATCGGCGGTTACGAGGCCGGAGAAAAGGGATCACGCCATTAGCATGATAGACTCGATCAATTATGCATTACCTTAATTGTTTAGAGCTCATGTATAAATAGAGGAGACCCGAAAGGGGAGAAATCAAGCTAATAATACACACCCAATTCTCGAATTCTCACTCTTAATCTTGTTTCTACGATCCGCCTTTTGAATCGGATCATTTGGTGGATTATTGTCCATCAGGACCTGACCTGGAACATTCTGCTTTGACTCTCCTCAATTGGATCCCTGTTTGCTGTCTTGTTTTGAATGATGTTGCAGCCCTCAGCATTAACTGGAATGATTTGGCTGCTGTTTTCTTTGCTTTTTCTGTTTGGGATTGTAACTCTGTTCAGTTCAAGACTTTGGCTAGTGAATCTTGAGAACTGAAGCTTGTTTGTTGTACTTCCATTGGATTTGGAACCTGTCTACTTCACTACCTTTTGCAGGAGATTTGGTACCTGTTTGCAATGGTTGGTTTGACAGGAGTATGCTGATGTTGAGTCACAAAATGTCATATTTGATTCTCTCATTTCTTAGTACTTTTAATATGTTTTATATGCATTTTATACTGAAATAAATATATTTGGTTACATTTAGCATTTTAGGCTATTGTTTACTTTTTATACATAAAATGCATGATTATGAGCGTATTTATATTTATTAATTAATTTAGAGTGTTATTTTCCTTAATTAATATTTTTTAGATATATTTTGGAGTAAAAAAGGCCGTGGAAGAAAGTGAAGAATAGGCCCAGGCAAGACATCTATTTGGCCCATCATAAACCAATGCGGAGAAAATCAAAAGGAAAGCAAAAAAGAAATAAAGTAAAAACTCCTCCATTCCGTAGAAAGCATCGCAGGAAAGGAAACGGAGACTCCGTCTCAGACTCCAACAACGGAAGGCGCAAGAAACTAGAGAATCCTTTTCCAAATCCAATTGGAACTCTTCAAATCTCAATTATAAAAAGAAGGGATATATACGGAGAACGAGGAAGGGGGGACGAAAACGGAACAGAGAGAGCCGACCTAGGGTTTCGACCCTAGGTCCGGCGCGGCACTCGGC